CAAGAAGTTTTTCAAAACCTGATGTTGAAAAATTTAATTTTGCGATTTTGAAAAAGACAATGGATACAGGAAGTGGACGGAAGAGAAAAAATTTTAGTACAGTCCATGCTCTAGTGTTAATAACAGAAGATGTGTAATATTGTTGAACTTTTTAGAAATATTATGTGAGCCTCGGAAAATAATCTTTAAAAAATCTACGCCTCATGTGAGCCTTGAAAATATGCTTTAAAAAATCTACGCCTCATATGAGCCTCGAAAAATATTCTTTAAAAAATCTACACTTCATGTGAGCCTTGAAAACTACTGTTTAAAAAAATCTACTCCTTATGCGAGGCTTGAAAAATATTTTTTAAAAAAATCTACGCCTTATGTGAGGCTTGAAAAATATTCTTTAAAAAAATTACGCCTTATGTGAGGCTTGAAAAATATTCTTTAAAAAAATCTACGCCTTATGTGAGGCTTGAAAAATAATCTTTAAAAAATCTACGCCTCATCAGAGCCTCGGAAAATATGCTTTAAAAAATCCAGGCCTCATCAGAGCCTCGGAAAATATGCTTTAAAAAATCTACGCCTTATATGAGGCTCGAAAAATATTCTTTTAAAAACCTACGCCTTTTATGAGCCTTGAAAAATATTCTTTAAAAAATTTACGCCTCATATGAGCCTTGAAAAATATGCTTTAAAAATCTACGCCTTATTTGAAGTCTTGAAAAATATTCTTTAAAAAATCTACGCTTTATTTTGAAGCCTTGAAAAACAATCCTTAAAAAATCTATGCCTTATATGAGCCTTGAAAAATATTCTTTTGAAAAATATGCTTTAAAAAATCCAGGCCTCATATAAGCCTTGAAAAATATGTTTTAAAAAAGATCTACGCCTTATGGATGGTTTACAAAATATTGTTTGAAAGATCTACGCCTCGAAAAATATTCTTTAAAAAATCTACGCCTTGTGGATGCTCTGAAGAAATATTCTTTAAGAAATGTACGCCTTGTGGATGGTTTAAAAAAATCCACGCCTTGTGTTGCTTAGAAAAATATTCTTTAAAAACCCAACGTCTTATGTTTATTCTGGTTCACATATAAGAAAAATATAGTAATATTCGAGATCTCGAAGATTTTTAAAATCCATTCGTGTGTATGTGTGGAAGATGATTTTTGACGAAAAAGTTTCGAAAACACTTCAGAACATTTTAGAAATTGCCATACTTCATCCTTCTCAAGTAATCTGTAATTGAAAAAAAAATCGATTATAATTTTTTACTCCTCCTCTCAAAGGTCAAAGTCTTCATCAAAATTGTTCCAATTTTTGACACACCAATCTATAATATTCCACATTTTTAGAAGTATCCATCCATGTTCGCCCCCCAAAAGTTACCTGCAATTAAGAAAGAAAATTGTTTAGAATATTTACTTACCTAAGGGCCAGGTCTTTGGCAAAATAATCCCTCTAACCACATTTCAATTTAGGCTTTAAATTGTTGAAATAATTATTGTAATTATTTTAGGGACCAGCAAGTGGGATTTATGCCTCAGCCATACCATACACGAAACACCAGCATCATTCTGTCCTGTGCAAAGTATCTTCCTGTCTCTGCATATCTAATTCACAGCATTTGACTTAGCCCGACCAGACTAAAAACCCCCAGCTTAATTTTTTCCTTTGCCAAGCATCTTCCTGTCTTCCTCCGATCTCTAATTCATAGCATTTAACTGAGTTCCATTATTTTCTTCACATTATGTGTCTGGTCTTCTATTATAATTCTTAAATCACCACAATTTCCCATTAATGGCTCCGGCTCCAGCTCATACAAGCGATTGAAACCAAATGAAGAAAAAATATGAAAAAAAATCCGATCAACCTCTAAACACTTTGTAAGAAAATAAAATTACTTGGTTTGAGAATCCGATCAACCTCTAAACACTTTGTAGAAAAATAAAATTACTTTGCCTGAGAATTAATGTGCATTACGCAGTTTTTTTTAATGGAAGGTGTTCAAGAGCACTCCGAAGAAGAAGGAAAAGAAAAAAGGAAATGCTGCTGATAACTAATTATTTTGTAGTGTGTGATAGTGAGGAGAGGGTTTGGCCATGGGAATACATTATGTCTACTCTTTTTTATTAAAACACTTTTAATGACTTCTCACAAGCCATGAAAGAAAAATTTCCAAGAGGAGGAAATGTTAAGAAGAAAACTGTAGCGGAAATGTTCTGAAAACAAATTATGTTTAATATGCATAAATGCAGTTTTATTACGAATCGAAGTAGAGCAGTAATGCAGAATAGCTTCGAAGTGATCTCACGATGAATAACAGATCGTAAAATTTATAAATTTTAAGCGAAGAGGTGGAGGCATCAAAAATCTGCAAAAAATATTTGATAGTAATATTCGATCTCCGAATTTTGAGAATAGTTTTCATTAGAATCATATTCTTTAGACCTAAAAATTCTGCAGCAGACACAAATGAAGACTTCTCACTCTGAACATTCAAAAGAATCAAAAAAAAGAATCACATATGACTTATCTCCCAGACAATCGCTCGTTGTCGTCTGCCAGACTGCCTGCCCGCCTGCTCAATGGCGGCAATGAATTTCATTAAAAAGCTTGCAGTTTATGACCTGGCCGAATGGCTTGACTAACTGATCAACTTGCCCCACTGATTATGGACCATGATTTGTAAAATTTAAAGTCGTTATTTTTATATTCTCTTCTATCTTTTCTTCTTCTCTCATAAAAAATATTTTAAACATTGTTTTAGTTTGAAATCCCAAAACACAAGTGTTAGTTCGGCAAACAAGCTACGAAGCGACCATCTTTTTTTTTTTTTTTTTTTTGAAATACATATGACTAATCAATGTGAAATGGATGGCGGATTTTTTTCTGCTTTGAGCCGTTACTTTTAACCATCATCATTTTTTTACTTTGTTTTGGTTGTCTTCATTTTATTTCCCTTTCTTTCTGTGTGTGTTTTTTTTTCCATTGAACCCAAGGCGTTTTTTGGTAAACTTGAACTTTGGAACCCGGCTAATATTTTGTGGCCGAACGATTTGCCACAGTTATTTTGTTTGGTCGGTTTTTTTGTTTTGGTTATGGCTTTCGATGAGTTTGTTGTCTTCCACTTCAAACTTCATTACGGTGATTTGGAATAATACACGGAAAGAAATAAAAGAGACAAAAATATATTCTTTAAAAAAAATCTACGCCTTATATGAGCCTTGAAAATTAATCTTTAAAAAAATCTACGCCTCATATGAGAGTTGAAAATTAATCTTTAAAAAAATCTACGCCTTATATGAGCCTTGAAAATTAATCTTTAAAAAATCTACGCCTTATATGAGCCTTGAAAATTAATCTTTAAAAAAATCTACGCCTTATATGAGCCTTGAAAATTAATCTTTAAAAAATCTACGCCTTATATGAGCCTTGAAAATTAATCTTTAAAAAATCTACGCCTTATATGAGCCTTGAAAATTAATCTTTAAAAAAATCTACGCCTTATATGAGCCTTGAAAATTAATCTTTAAAAAAATCTACGCCTTATATGAGCCTTGAAAAATAATCTTTAAAAAATCTACGCCTTATATGAGCCTTGAAAAATATTCTTTAAAAAATCTACGCCTTATATGAGCCTTGAAAAATATTCTTTAAAAAATCTACGCCTTATATGAGCCTTGAAAAATATTCTTTAAAAAATCTACGCCTTATATGAGCCTTGAAAAATATTCTTTAAAAAATCTACGCCTCATAAAGACCTCCAAAAATATTCTTTAATAAAATCTTCGCCTCATAAAGGCCTCCAAAATTTTTTTTAAAAAAATCTACGCCTCAGTTGAGACTAGAAGTATTCTTCAGTAAAATCTGCGCCTCATCTGAGTCTCGAAAAATATTCTTTAACAAATCTACACATTACAATAGCCTTGGAAAATACTCTTAAAAAATCTACGCCTCATAATGGCCTCTAAAAATATTCTTTAATAAAACCTACGACTCGAAAAATATTCTTTAAAAAATCTACACCTCATAAAGTCCTCAAAACGTATTCTACGTCTCATAGAGGCCTCCAAAAGTATTCTTTAAAAAATCAACGCCTCATGGGAACCTCCAAAAATATTCTTTAAAAAATCTGCGCCTCATGGGAGCCTCCAAAAGTATTCTTTAAAAAAATCAAAGCCTCATGGGAGCCTCCAAAAATATTCTTTAATAAAATCTACGCCTCATATGTGCCTCGAAAAATATTCTTTAATAAAATCAAAGCCTCATGGGAGCCTCGAAAAATATTCTTTAATAAAATCTACGCCTCATCTGAGCATCGAAAAATATTCTTTAATAAAATCTACGCCTCATCTGAGCCTCGAAAAATTTTCTTTAATAAAATCTATGCCTCATTTGAGCCTCGAAAAATATTCTTTCGAAAAATATTCTTTAATAAAATCTACGCCTCATCTGAGCCTCGAAAAATATTCTGTAACAAATCTATGCCTCATAAAGGCCTCTAAAAATATTCTTTAAAAAATCTGCGCCTCGTGGGAGCCTCCAAAAACACTGTTTAAAAAATCTACGCCTTATGGTTATTCTGGTTGTCATATAAGACAAATATAGTAATATTCGAGATCTCCAAAATTTTTAAAAATTAGCACCTGTGAATATATCATATCCGGCATTTTGATTCCGCAATCCTTGAAAATGTAATTCCAATATCCGCCAAAGGTATTCTCTCTGTGTATTTGTGACCAATAAAATGTTCGCCAATTCCTGAAAAGAAGGAAAAAAATATTATAGTCATGTTGTAATAAAAAAGAGACTTTCATCATTGATAATATTCCGCAAATCCCGTACTGGAATGGATGAATGGACAATACCTCTTATTTTTTCGTTAACCACAAAAACATAATTTTTTCCATCATGGTTTTTTCTTACAATTTCCTTTTAGTATTATTAAGATATTCCCTATTCAAAAATTGTATACTTATTAGATTCTTTATTTCTTTCGTCTCTTTCAGCAGCATAATCGTCAGGATTCCATATCACCGGAATATCATCGTTATTCCAGTATTGGTAAATTACCCAAGGCCTCAACTGTAGCGGCGGTAAATTCAAATAATACAAAACATACCGTTACCGTTGATATTCATAATAACGGCAGCAGTGGAACCAACAACAACCATCATCACAGCCACACCGGTACCACATCGTCCATCAGTTCTACAGGCACCAATAGCAGCAGTAACGGCGGTCATCATCATGGTCACCAGCACAACAATAACGGCAACTATAGCGAAATTCATGCTTCATCATTTGCCACACCACCGACACGCCGTCGCTTTTTCAATCACAAAAATTTGCGCAATGCCTTAACGAACGGTGTCAGCGGTGTGGTTGGACATCGTCGAACCTCATCGAATGGCGGCAATAGTAGTAATAGTAGTGGCTGTCCCATTGATACATCATCCTCGATATTATCCGAAGGTAAGTGAGGTTCAAATGTGGTTACTATGTTTTTTTCTTTTGAAAATCAGGGAAAAAAAGAAAATTTGTTTGAAAAAAAAAAAACTTTAAGAAAATATGAGAATATGTGAGAGAGAGGAAAAATACATCCTCACAGTGGTTTGAATTCCTCTTCTAAAATATATTTATTTCAGAATTAACATTTTTAGATTCAATCAGCTGTTAATTGAATCAGCTGTTCCATTGATGCCTGAAAGTATGCATTTTTTTTAGGAAATGCCCTTAAGAAATCTAAAGCCAAGCTGTTGCAGAATATATTAATGGAAATAAGCTATTGTAATAAGATGATTACCGAATACTAATTGATATTGTAAAATGATAAAATAATAGGAGACCCCATTTCATTCGAGCGACGCTTAAAAGCCTCCAATGCCTTCAGAACCACTGTACCCCCTAAAAATAACTATTAAATAAGTTTGTAGATTTTTCACTGACCATCATTTTTAAATTCGCATCATCATCCTCCATATGCAAAACGCTTTGTCATCTTCTCCAAATGTTTTTCGTTTTTCTACAACAAAAGAAAATATTTAGAAAAAAGTTGATGAACTTTGTTGTAATATTTTTCAATGATTTTTGCTGGCAAAATCATGCCAGGCTGCAGTTCTCTATGGCATTTTCTTCTTTGTCTCCAAAGGCTTTCTTTACAAATTCTGCCAAATGGAAAACAAATATTCTCAAGAATAGTGATTATGTCAAGATTACAAGCAGTCATCGGTGGTAGAGTGCCTTCGATTGACATAACCTTTCAACAATGTTGAAAGTGACCCCAACGACACCTGCAAAGTTTTGCAAATGACATTTTTATGAGCTTGCAGACAGCTAGGCATGACCCAAAGGCCATGAGATGAAAATTGTGATACATCAATCTCACTGAAGATGCTATTAGGTGCGGGATTGATTCATATGAACGCAATGTTTTGGACAATAAAGGCCGAGAATCGATTTTTACTGACCTGACAGATATGAAAGCTTCAAGAAAATATTCTTTAAAACATCTACGCTTTAAATGAGCCTCGGAAATATTCTTTAAAACATCTGCGCTTTATATGAGCCTCGGAAAATATTCTTTAAAAAATCTACGCCTAATATGAGCCTCGGAAAATATTCTTTAAAAAATCTACGCCTCATCTGAGGCGAAAAAAATTCTTTAAAAAATCTACGCCTTGTGGATGTTTTGAAACATATTCTTTAAAAAATCTACGCCTTATGAGGGTAGAAATGAAAAAACTAAGAAAAACTTTTAATCCGAAGTCGAAAACGAATTAAAGAAAATTTCATTTGCATACTTTCAGGCCATTTATCGAGCAGCTGATTCATTCAACAGCTGATTCATATATTTTTTTTGGCTATACCATTCAATGTTGGCCGTAGTTAATTATAGGATGCATTTGATTTAGAACTAAACGACCTCCGTTACAAAATCGTAATTAAGAAAGTAGGAAATAAGAAAGAGATTTCAGGAGTAAGAAAGACCCATTCCTGCAACACTCCAGCAGGATTAAGTTTTACATGTTCTGTCGCCAGCAGCAGAGACAAATCTGCTTTGGTTGGTTAATGTTTAAAATATCGATTTCAACATCAATTAAATAATTATATTTTGTTTAGGCCCACTGAGCTTATGAGGTTACGAAAAAATATGTATACAAATCACCATATTTTACGCTCAAAATTTAAACCTGAATTTTGATCATCTGGGTATTGGACTCGCCCTGTTTGGAAAATTATTTTATAAGAAAAAAATCCGCAGAATTATTCTAAAAATTTATTTCTTTATCATTATACATTTTCAAGAGGTTTTGAGGTTCCCAAAATTGACTGATGATCAGTTTTAGTGTAAATATGTATTTGACTTACCCTGTTTTCGGCACAGCTGATCGGAAAAATATTTGATAAAATTAACTTTTCTTACATTTGGGTTCCTAAAATTAAACCGTATAGAATTTTCATTACCTATATATCTGACTCATCCGGTTAGGAACTATTTTTTAAGAAATTGCATCCCCAATCCATTGAAAATTCCCCAGAATTATTCTAGAAATCTTCTTCTTTATTATTCACTGGTGATCTGGCGATTTTATTTTGGTGTATTTGGCTCACCCTGTTCGCAGCACAGCCGATCGGCTATTATTTTAGAAATTCTGCTTTTCTTTCATTCTAAATTGTAACAATATCAAGAGATTTGGGTCGGTCCACAAATTATATTCTGTCAACATCCATTTGGGTCCACAAAACTACCATGTAATCAGTTATTTATATTTTATTGTAAATATGTATATGACTCACCCTGTTTGATGTACAGCGGATCAGGAATTATTTGTTAAAATAGGATTTTTCATTCTAAATTTTAACAGCTTTTGTCGCAAAATCAATAGTTTTGGATTTCGATTCACAAAATATATTTTATCAAAAGTTTTTGGGAATGACAAAACTAGCCGTTCATCAGCTGTTTATATTATTTTACGGTATATGTATTTGATTCACCCTGTTAGCCAAACAGCTGATCGATAATAGTTTGTTAAAAATTGCTACAATTTTTATCACAATATCAAAGCTTTATATCGAGAGCTTTTGGTGTCTCGTGATCGATTTGTATTGTAACTACGTATATCACAATTTCAAGAGTTTTTGAGGTTTACAAAATTACCTGGTAATCAGGTGTTTATTTTATGTAAATATGTAGTTGACTCACACTGTTTGCCGAACAGCTGATCGTAAATAGTTTTTAAAATAATATGCTTTTCCATCACTCGACATTTTAAACGCTTTATCACAATATCCAAAGCTTTGGTGGGGTTGCAAAAATTATACATGTCCATAATGCTTAAAAACTAACCTAAGAATATTACAAAATAAAAATTTATAACCTAACCTCACTTTATTATTATAATTTAGATTAATGCACTTTTGCACATTACATCTATTATGCACTTATCACTTTCATCATTCACTCACCCACACAATTTTCCCTTTTCCCAACTGTTGTTTCCCCTCCCAACCATTATTTAGGTAAAGAATCCAATGCCTTGAATACTTCAACTTGTTCCGATTCGGCGGTCACCAGACGACGTCGTAAAAATGTAAGCAGTAAGTTGACATCATCTTCGGAATCAACAACGGGCAGTGAAAATCGGCTGCATCGCCTAAGTTTGGCTGGAACCTCTGTATATGCTGGCCATCTATCATCGCTGGTATTGGGCAAAATCAAATCGCTATGGAGTGTCAATTCCAATTCATCGGAGGGTGGCCTCAATCAATTTACAGGCAGGACATCTTAATTTTTACTACACATTTCATTAACTAGAGGGGTTTAGACAAGGGAAGATTTTCGTGAAGGGAAATCTGAGTTTATTGAAGTGAAAGAGAGAAGGGATTTTAGTTGTCTCCCATAAACTCAGATTTGTTTATTCCCGAAAAATGTCCCTAGTTCTGATTCCCGAGTTTCATTAACTATTTGATGTTTTTGTGTTCTTGCATGCTTTTTTTGGTATTTTTGTTTGTTATGTCTACTAATTTTTAAGAAAATGTTTTTGTTGTTATTTTTTTAATTATATTTTTATTTTATTATACTTTCATTGAACTGAGGATTTTCTCTTCAAGTTTTTAGTCAGTGGTTTCCTGAGAAAATATGGCCTCACATTGTTTCTAACTCAAAGGAGACCTCAAAATAATTATGTCATTAACTTAATCCTAATTAAACGCCTAAATATGAACTTTTGAAACTCGATCAGCTGTTACATGAATCAGCTGTTCAATAAGTGCCTAGAAGTATGCAATAATTTGCCTCTTTTTAGGTGATAAAGAGATAGGCCAAGATCTGTTAATAAGGTCATCCAGTTAGCGAAGTCAGCTCTATTCTCTCAAGTCTAATGTTAAAAATTTGGACTTTGTTTAAGTTTTCATAATACAAGTCAATTCACAATAAGGGATTTTGACAGCAAACTTGAGAGGCTGCTGATATCCAGCTGTCCTGCCTGAATTACCATAATAATGGACCTTGAGACAGACCATTTATCGCCTTAAGAGCAAATAGTTTTGCATACTTTTAGGAAGTTATGGAACATCTGATTCAGTCAACAGCTGACTGTGTTTAAAAAGTTAATATTTATGTCATTGTAAGGATAAATTTTGGGTCATAATTATTTCAAGGAGTCCACTGATATCAAAATACAAATTATAGTATACATTTTTTACTCTCTGAGGTCCGAGTAAAATTAACTATTTACTGTTTCATTTATTTTTAAATTTTTTTTGCATGAATTTTTTTATTGTTGAACTGAAGTTTACTTCTTCAGTTTTTTTTCTATATGGTCTTCCGATATTTTTGGACTTACATTGCCATTTTCATTGTGGACAAAGAAAAGAAGTCTATAAAAATTACCTTCCGTACTTATCAAATGGTGATATTAAATTTTCCGAACAGAAAGTTATTCGATGAATTCTCATGATCATAGATATGAACTTTTCGAACCCAATCAGCTGTTGAATGAATCAGCTGTTTGATAATTGCCCACATGTATTCAATAATCTGATTTATATATATATATATAGAAAGGTCATCTATCGCGTTAAAAGACAAATAATATTGCATACCTTTGGGCATTTCACGACCAGCTGATTCATTCAACAGCTTATTGGTTACAAAAAGTTCATATTTGGGTGATGTTATGGAGCCATTGGGGTCATAATTATTTAAAAATATCGATTACTGGGTCTGTTTTGAACTTCCGCGAATTTTTTCACTCTGAGGTCTAAGTATCACATACTATTTGTTGTTGTCTTTCATTTTTTGCATGCCTTTTTGTTGTATTTTGATATTGACCAACTGGAGATTAAATCTTCAGTTTATTTTGTATGTATTTCCGATATCTATGGGAATAAACTGTAATTTTTCTTGACCCACCTCAATGAAAATATTTGTTAAAAACTTACCTTCCATGCACATCGGATGGTAATATCAAATTTCCCGAGCAACAAGAAAAGATTTGTTTAAAACAATTAAAAAAGTCTCAAGATCATAATTATAAATCTTTGAAACCCAATCAGATGATTCGTTCAACAGCTGATTGATTCATATTTATGTGATTATAAGAATCCGCAAGGTTTTCCTCTGAGGTATGAATAATATTGTTGTGTTTTAAAATTTTCCGAACAGTAAGTCATTCGAAGAAGTCTCAAGATCATAATTATGAACTTATTTTAACCCAATCAGCTGACTGGTTCATATTTATGTGATGATCCGCCATGTTTCTCCCTGAGGTCTGAATAATGTTAACTACTTATTGTTACTTTTTTATAGAAGCCTTAAGGTCATAAATATGATGTTGAGACTTATTAGCATCCTTATAATCCCCTAAATATAAACTTTTCGAACCCAATCAGCAGTTCAGCAAGTGCCCTAAAGAATGCGATAAATAGAATCGTCATTTTTTAACCTTAAAACTTTTAGGCTTTTCTTGAACAGCTGATTCATTCAACAGTTGATTTGGTTCGAAAAGTTTATATGTAGGTGATTATAAGGATTCCTTAGGGTCATAATTATTTCGATGTTATATAAAAATATATATTACATGATTAAGTTTGACATTTCACGATTTTTTCTTTCTCAGAGTTCCGAATAATATTAACTATTTGATGTAGTGTTTGCTTTTAATTTTTATGCATGCATTTTTGTTGTTTTTGTTATTTTATTGTTTATTGCCGAACTGGAGATTATCTCTTCAGATTTTTTCTACCGAGATTTTTGGCATTACACTGCCATTTTTCTTGGTCCATTTTTGTTGGGTACAAAGGAAAATTCTTAACAAATTGCCTTCCGTACTCATCGGATGGTGGTTTTAAATTTTCCGAACAGTAAGTCATTCAAAGAAGTTGTCCTGAAGATAAACTTCAATGTGGTTCTGTCCATTTTTTGATTTTTTACCAGCATGTTTTTTGTAATTTCTCCCCAGTTTTCATTTTTTAATTCTCAAAATCTAATCCCTCCTCTCTCTTCTTCTCTCTCTCTCATTATAGGAAGCGATCATTTGGGCAATGAGGCGGAGAAACAAAAGGACCAGCTGCGAGCCCGTTTGGGTTTGCTACTTGACCACGATCAAAATGGCAATGCCGCCAACAATACGAATACCACCACCAGCAGTAGTTCATCGCACAATATTAGTCCCGAGCAGACTTTGGCCACGGGCAGCTCTGGCCTCTCGGTAGATCATTATGGAGGCAGCCAGCTGTCGGTATCCACTAAGGATGATACCTATAGCTTGAGTGGTAAAATGAAAGCTTGCTCTCTGACGGATAGTAATGGTTATGAAATATTGCCCTTGAAACCCCGAAAATCGGTGGCCAGACGTTCGGCACGATCCACACAAATGGCGGGAAATGCGAACAACAACAATAAAAGGAATGCCATTTATAAAACCCCATCGTTACAACAACAATTACCACCTGCCATACAATTGCCGTTGAAGCCTTTGTTCTTTGAGGTACCTTTGCAGGAACCCGATCCACCATTCATCGGAAGACAATGGTTAATAAGAGAATTGGCAAATACCCTGACAGCCACAGAGACCCCAGGCGTGTTAATAAATGGCAACCCTGGTACGGGTAAAACTGCATTTATTCTGCAATTGGTGGAGTACTCCTGTTTCGGACGCCGTAATGCTGCCGCGAACTCTGTGGAAAGTGATCCGGATGGTATTTATTATCAAATAAGCTCGGTGACCGATCGCCTACGTTCCCTGGCCTCTTATGTGGTGGGTTATCATTTCTGTCAGGCAGATGCCAATCTGACGTGTTTGGTACCGGATTTTGTTCATTCCCTGGCGGCGCAGTTATGTCAAGCACCCCAATTGGCGGCATATCGGGAGTATCTGCTCAATGAAACCCATTTGCAGGATATACTCAGCGTCAAGGAGTGTATTGCCGATGCGGAAAGGGTTATGCGCATGGCCATATTGGAACCTTTGACAGTGTTGAAGAGAGCTGGAAAGATCCCTGCCAAAACATGCATCATCCTGGTGGATGCTCTCTGTGAAGCGGAATATCATCGTCCCGACCATGGCCACACCATTGCCACATTTCTTGCCAAAATGACCCAATATTTCCCCTCCTGGTTGAAGGTGGTGGCCACGGTGCGCACTCAAATGTTGGAGTTCGTCAAGGGGTTGTCCTACACCAAAATGACCCTGGACAGTTGGGCCTCCAATGATCTGCTGCAAAAAGATATGCTCGATTATATCACCTTCCGTGTCAACAATTCCGTGGAGATTCAAAAAAATGTAGCCGTCGTTAAGGATCACAACACGGGACAATTGAAATTTATTGGCCACCTGCAATCCCTGACCAAGGGTTCGATGCTGTATGCCAAGCTTATCCTGGATCTCATTGAAAAGGGCCAGCTGGTCATTAAGTCCACGAGTTATAAGGTCTTGCCTATATCACTGGCTCAGATTTTCCTGCTGCATTTCAATCTACGTTTCCCAACTTCGTGTAGCTTTGAGAAGGCTGCTCCGATACTTAATGTATGCCTGGCTGCCCTGTACCCCTTGACCCTGAATGAGATTTACTACACCGTTTGCGCCATGAAAACCGATGAAGTAATGCCTTGGGATGAATTCCTGCAGAGGTTCAAGCTGCTCGACGGATTCCTAATCAAGCGGATCGACAATACCTATATGTTCTTCCACTCGTCCTTCCGGGAGTGGTTGATACGCCGCGATGAAGGTGAATCGACGAAATTCCTGTGTGATTTCCGTTTGGGCCATGCCGCAATTGCATTCCGTTTGTCAAGGCTCCAGCCGCCCCTGGATGCGGAACAGACACTGGAACTAGGTCATCATATGCTGAAGGCCCACATTTACCGCAACAATCAGGGTCCACAGTCGCCGCGTGATATGCAATCGTATTGGGTGTCGACCGTATCGGATAATGTCTCCGCGGCCTTGGGTTCGCTGCGCAATGTCTACAGCCCCAATTTGAAGGTGTCACGCCTCATACTCCTGGCCGGAGCTTCACCTCACTACCGCACCGAATTTATGGGAGATGCCACAATTCTTTGCATTGCCGCTTATGAGGGCATAGTGCCCATGGTAAGCCTCCTACTAGAATTCGGAGCCGATGTCGGCTTGACCAACAGTCAAGGTTGTACACCCCTCATTCTGGCTGCCATGCGGGGCCATTGTGATGTTGTACGCCTCCTAGTGGCTGCTGGCAGTAGTCTCGGTCAATGTGATACCACTCAGCGTTGTGCTTTGGTCCAGGCGGCCCGCATGGGACGCCTAAATGTTGTCAAATATTTACTGGCCTGTGATTGGACACCACGGCCGAATTCCAATGATGTCAACCTACCCACTGCCATACATCAATCCCTAATAGCAGCTGCCTCACAGGATCACATTACCATTCTCGAAGATCTGCTCGATATGGAGGATATCGATGTCAATGCCATTGAACCATGTTCGGGAGAATTGGCTCTGACCTCGGCGGCTCGCAATGGCTGTCTCAATACCGTTGAAGTCCTATTGACCCGCGGTGCCAACATTGATCTACATAATAAGCAAGGGTTCACCGCCCTCGGCCTCTCCGTCAAGGAAGGTCACTGGGCCGTGGCCGAAAAGCTGCTGCAAAGCGGTGCCGATCTCGATGAACCGGTCACCTCGGCCCGCAAGACTGCTCTAATGATTGCTGCCGAAGAGGGCCATCTGGAAATTCTTGAAATGCTTATTGAGCGGGGTGCCAACCTCGAGACCCAAGATCATGAAGGATTCACCGCCCTCTCATGGGCTTGCCTGAGAGGACGGCAAACAGCCGCCAAAATCCTAATCGACAAAGGGTGCAACAAAAATCATGCCGATAATAATGGTCGCACCGGCCTCGATTTAGCTGCCTATCAAGGCTCTGCCCATTTGGTGCAATATCTGATGGAACAAGGTGCCAATATCGAACATGTTGATGTTAATGGTATGCGTCCGCTGGATCGTGCCATTGCCTGTCGTAACATACAAGTGGTACAGGTATTCTTACGTAAAGGTGCCAAACTGGGGCCTACCACCTGGAATATGGCCATGGGTAAACCGGAAATCTTGGTGGTTCTATTGAATAAATTACTCGAAGATGGTAATGTTCTATATCGGAAAAATCGTTTCCATGAGGCGGCACATCGTTATCAATATGCTTTGAGGAAAATCGCCAATTTGGAAAGTCTTCTGGAGCGAAGTGCAATATTTGCCCAGCTGAGAACAAATCTATTGTTGAATTTGTCGCGATGCAAGAGGAAACTGAATGTAAGTATGAGGGGGAAATTTTGAAAAAAAAACTAATTTAGAAAAAAATTAAAAAAATGTCAAATGAGGTTATGTTTTAGGTTATGTTAATTGGCTCAGGAGGATAGTTATAGAGGTCCTAAGCCAAATAGAACCCAAAAAAACAAGTTCCTTCAAAATCTATTGCAAAATGTGTTCGAAAATTTCTAAATTCTCCAAATCGAAAAATTCCGATCGTGGGGAGCTATTCCGAAACTATTCCAAAATATTGACCGATCTTTAAAATTTTTGGAATGTAGGGAACCTCCATAGCCATATATGCCAAATTACAAAACAATCCGTTCATTAATGTACCAAGTTCGTAAAAATTTGAGCTACTTCTAAAGGAACCTGTTTCCAAATTTGGACCAATGTTTATAATTTTTGGCATGGAGGTTCCCTTTTCATCGAAAACCTCATATGTCAAATTTTAGAAAAATTCGTTCATAAATTTGGCCAAAATCAGCGAAGTTCGTGAAATTTGAGGGCATTTATAATGGAGCCTCTACCAAAATAGGGATCAATCTTCATAAGGTTTTATATTTATTGAGAACCCCAAATAGCAAATTTGATAGAAATCCAATGATAAATATGGACAAAATCGATGAAATTCGTCAAATCGGAAATATTTTTTAAAGGGACATTCTCCAAAAACTTAACCAATATTCACAATTGTTTGCATGGAGATTCAATACCTGTCGATAACCTAAATTACCAAATTTTATAAATATTCGTTCAAAACTATGGCTAAAATCGTCAAATCCGGATGTACTTCTAAAGGAACCTCTTCCGAAATATGAACCAAACTTTATAATTTTTTTGCACAAAGGTTCTACATTCATCGAGAACCCTAAATGTCAAATTACAGAAAAATTCGTTCATAAACCAAACTTTATAATTTTTTGAACCAAACTTTATAATTTTTTGCACAGAGGTTCTATATTCATCGAGAACCTCAAATATCAAATTATATAAAAATACGTTCAAAAATGTTGGCGAAATCTTCGAAATTCGTAAAATCGGACAGTATTACTAAAGGGACCTTCTCCAAAAACTGAACCTATCTTCACAATTTTTCGCATGGAGGTTCCCTGTCTGTTGAGAACCCTAATTACCAAATTTTATAAATATCCGTTCAAAAATGCAGTTAAAATCGTTCACATCGGAATGTACCTCTAAATGAACCCCATTCAAAATATGGACCAATTTTTATAATTTTGTGTACAGAGGTTCTATAATCATGGAGAATCCCAAATGTCAACTTAGATAAAAAATCCGTTTATAAATGTGCCCTGAATCTTCGAAATTCGACAAATCGGATGTCATTTCTAAAGGGACCTTCTCCAAAAAACTGAACCTATCTTCACAATTTTTTGCATGAAGGTTCACAAACTGTCGAGAACCCGAATTACCAAATTTTATAAATATCCGTTGAAAACTGCAGTTCAAATCGGTCAAATCGAAAAAGGCCTCTAAAAGAGACTCATCTAAAATATGTACCAATCTTTATAATTTTGTGTACAGAAGTTTTGTATTCATCGAGAACCCCAAATGTCAAATTTTATAAAAATTCTTTCAAAACTCTTGTTAAAATCCTGAAATCGGGAATTACTTCTAAAGGAGCCTCATCCAAAATATGGACCAAACTTTATAATTTTTTGCACAGAGGTTCTCTATTCTTCGAGAACCCCAAATGTCAAATTACAGAAAAATCCATTCACAATTGTGGAGAAAATCTTCGAACTTCGTTTAATTGAGAGGTACCTCTAAAGGAGCCTGATCCAAAATATGAACCAATCGTTATAATTGTTTGTACAGAGGTTCTGTATTCATCGAGAACCCCAAATGTCAAATTTTATAAATATCCGTTTCAAACTTTGGAAAAAATCTTCGAAATTCGACAATTTGAGGTGTACTTCTAGGGAACCCTCATCCAAAAAATGGACCAATCTTTGAAATTTTTCGTACAGAGGTTCAGTATTCATCGAGAACCCCAAATGTCAAATTTTATAAAAATCCATTCAAAATGACGGTTAAAATCCTGAAATCGGGAATTACTTCTAAAGGAACCTCATCTAAAATACGGAAAATACGATCTTTATAATTTTGTGTACAGAGGTTCTCTATTCTTCGAGAACCCAAAATGTCAAATTACAGAAAAATCCATTCATAACTGTGGAGAAAATCTTAGAACTTCGTTTAATTGAGAGGTACCTATAAAGAAGCCTCATCCAAAATTTGAACCCATCTTTATCATTTTTTGTACAGAGTTTCAAAATATGAACCAATCTTTAAAATTTTTTGTACATAGGTTCTCTATTAATCATGAAACCCAAATGTCAAATTTCATAAAAATCCGTTTCAAACTGTGAAGAAAATCTTCGAAATTCGACAATTTGAGGTGTACTTCTAAAGAAGTCTCATCCAAAAAATGGATCAATCTTTATAATTTTTCGTACAGGGGTTATCTATGCTTTGAGAACCCCATATGTAAAATGTCATAGAAATCCGTTTCAAACTGTGGAGAAAATCTTCGAAATTCGACAATTTGAGGTGTACTTCTAAAGAAGCCTCATCCAAAAAATGGACCAATCTTTATAATTTTTTGTGCAGAGGTTCTGTATTCATCGAGAACCCCAATTGTCAAATTTTATAAAAATTCTTTCAAAACTCTTGGTAAAATCCTGAAATCGGAAATTACTTCTAAAGGAGCCTCATTCAAAATATGGACCAAATTTTATAATTTTTTGCACAGAGGTTCCTCGAGAACCCCAAATGTCATATTACATAAAAATCCGTTCAAAATTGCGGTTTAAATCTTCGAAAATCGTCAGATTGAGAGGTGATTCTGAAGGCTTTAAAATGTTCCATGACCTCTGACAATAGGTCCTTTACCCCTATTTTGTGTTTTTTTTTTAATTTTCTTCTATTCTCTTTACTAATAAATTTTATCCTCTCTCTTTTCATTTTTACAGGAACTTGATGAATCAATAGATTTGGCCTCACAGGCTATCGCACAAAAACCCAGCAGCTATGAAGGCTATTATGCCCGGGCCAAGGCACGCATGGAACATGGTGATCTGAATGAAGCATTGGCTGATGCCAATGAGGCCATGCAAAAGGCAGCACAAAGTGGTGTTCTAAACGAAGTCATCGAAGTGCTCAAACGTATACAGGCTGAACTGCTGCAACGCATTACAAACGAGGGACGTTCACAACAAACATCCTCGTCCACTTCGTCTGGTTACGAAGTAAGCAATGGCAGTGGTGCAACAGCTGGAGTATACAATGAGACGGGAGAATCTCATCAGCATGAGATAACGGATTTATAAATGAGAGCAGAGAGCCTTAAATTTGGAAAATTTGAAGAAAAAAAAATTGAAAATTGAAAAAAAAACAACAACTGAGGTGCCTTTGAATCTCATGGAGAGATGACATTTTTTTGTAAAGTAACGTTAAAGGAAGAGAGGAAGTTTTTTACAAAACTTAACGAAAATGCGAATTAGAATTTTATATACAAAACCCATATGGCAGTTACATATATACATATTTACTTATAATTATTATTAAAAATTGTTTTATTTTAAAATTAATTTTTGAGAGTTTTTTTAATTTGTATTTATTTTGTGAGGTTATGCATCTTTTTTTATAATTTGTTTTATTGCATAAAAATTCATTGATTTAAATTAAAAATAATAATAATATTTATAATAAATTATTCTATTGTGTATTTTTTTAATTATTATATATAAATGTTTATATATACATATACATTTTAATAGTTGCATTATTATAAAGTTATCGTTTCATATATAGTTCGAATATAACAAAAAAAAACATAGAATATTTTTTATATATTTAAAAAAATTAAAATATTTTCTTATTATATTTTTCTAGTTTTACAAATAATACACGAGTTTTTCATGCATACATTTTATTATATATTATATAAATAATTTTTAATAATATGAATTATTTTTATTATTATTATAAATTAAAAACAAAATGGAATTTTTTATCTTAAAAACTAAGCAAAAGAATTTAAAAAAAAACAAAATGAAAATAATAAAAAAAAACTTTTGTGCAAAAAATTGAAATGTTTTGTTTAATTTTTTGGGGTCTTTAGTACTAATAATAATATTTTATATAAATATTTTTATTTTTTTATAAAAATCTACTTTTTTTAATATGCATCTTGTAAAGGAGATTGGCAAAAAACAAAACAAAATAGAAAGAAAAACTCAAATACTTAAAACAGCATTTAGTCTCTTTGTCCGATATATTAACGAAAATCGTATTTCAATATGTGTTAAGCTTTGAGAAAGGGTTTATTGATCCTTGAGGTCTTCTTTCACTCAAAAATTCAATTCTTTTTATCGTGTTCTAAATTCGTAGTACTGCCGTTGAGATTTGTTACCAAGGGTATCATAACTTGCAGATATGGTTCATAATCGGGACCTGAAATTAAGGAGATTAGAACATAATTAAAAAAGTGTACGAATTCGGGATCAGGAAGTACATTTAAAGGGACCTTTTCCAAATAGGATTTCTAGCTTGATAAATTTTTGCATGGACGTTCCTTTGGTTTTGAGAACATCAAATATCAAATTATATAAAAATCCGTTCAAAATTGCGGTTTAATGTCTTCGAAATTCGTCAAATTGGTAGGAACTTCTAAAGGAGCCTCATCCAAAATATGGATCAATCTTTATGATTTTTTGTACAGAGGTTCTCTATTCATCCAGAATCCCAAATGTCAAATTACATAAAAATTCGTTCAAAATTGCGGTTTAAATCTGCAAACTTCGTTAAATTGAAAGGTACTTCTAAAGGAGCCTTATCCAAAATATGGACCAATCTTTATGATTTTTTGTACAGAGGTTCTCTATCTATTGAGAACCCCAAATATCAAATTACATAAAAATCAGTTCATAAATGTGGCTATAACTGCCGTTTAGAGGGGTATCCATAAAGGGACCTCGTCAAAAATATTGATGAATATTTATAATTTTGTGTACTGAGGTTCTGTATTCATCGAGAACTCCAAATATCAAATTAAAGAAAAATCCGTTCATGAATGTGTCCAAAATCTGTGAAGTTCGTGAAATTTTTAAGTACTTCTAAAGAAACCTCTTTCAAAAGGAACCTCTTGTGCAGAGGTTCTCTATTCATTGAGATACCCCAAATGTCAAATTATATAAAAATCCATTCAAAATTGCGGTTTAAATCTACTAACATCGTTAAATTAAAAGGTATTTCTAAAGAAGCTTCATCCAAAATATGCACCAATTTTCATAATTTTGTGTACTGAGGTTCTCTATTCATTGAGAACCCCAAATATCAAACTACCTTATAAATCAGTTCAAAAAAGTGGCTATAATCGCGATTTAGAGGGATATCCTTAAAGATACCTCTTTCAAAATATATATCAATCTTTATAATTTTTTGTACAGAGGTTCTCCATTCATTGAGAACCCCAAATGTCAAATTATATAAAAATCCATTTAAAATTGCGGTTTAAATCTGCAAACTTCGTTAAATTTAAAGGAACTTCTAAAGGAACCTCATCCAAAATATGGACCAATCTTTATAATTTTTTGCACAGAGGTTCACCATTTAACGAGAACCCCAAATATCAAATTACAGAAAAATCCGCTCATAAATGTGTCCAAAATCTGCGAAGTTCGTGAAATTTTGAAGTACTTTTAAAGGAACCTCTTTCAAAATATGGACCAATCTTTATAATTTTTTGTACAGAGGTTCTACAGTCATCGAGAACCCCAAATGTCAAGTAATATAAAAATCCCTTCAAAAATGTGGAGAAAATCTGCTAACTTCGTTAAATTGAAAGGTATTTCAAAATGAGCCTCATCCGAAATATAGACCAATCTTTATAATTTTTTGTACAGAGGTTTTTTTAGTCAAGAACCCTAAATATCAAATAACATAATAATCGGATCATAAATGTGGAGAAAATTTTCGAAATTCCATAAATTGACGGGTACTTCTAAAGGAGCCTCATGCAAAATATGGACCAATTATTATAATTTTTTGTGCAGAGGTTATATATTCATCGAGAATCCCAAATATACATAATACATAAATATAAATAATACATAAAAATCCGTTCATAAATGTGAAAAAAATGCGGAACCAAAATATGGACCGATCTTCACAAATTTTTGCATGGAGGTTCCCAATCTGCAGAGAACTCGAATTACCAAATGTTATAACTATCCGTTCAAAATTATTATTAAAATCGGTCAAATCGGAAAAATATTTCTAAAGAAGCCTCATCCGAAATATAAACCAATCATTCTAATTTTTCGTATAGAGGTTCTCTATCTATCGATAGCCCCAAATGTCAAGTATCATAAAAATCCGTTCATAATTTGTTTGCTAAATTCTATGAAAATCGTTTAAATAGTCTCTACGTTAATTGCACTTCAATTCAACGATGTTCCGAAATTTACCTACTATTCAGTGCTGGGCACCTATTACCTAAAAATGAAAATCCACACAAAAATTGATATTTTAAAAACGGCAATTTTTCCTCTCTTTCATAATGGCTCCTGGTTTGCAAAGAAAATCATAGCATACTTCTAGGCCAAACACAGTCTATACGTGTAGTCCGATTTTTAAAGCAGCAAAAGTTCAACTTACTCTGTTCCAATATCGTCTCCAAATCATCGGGATTTTCCAAAGTAGGTATATCGGCATTTGCCGATTCCTTTAGGATGACAACAATTTCCTTTGTGGCTTTGAGTAAAAACAGCGGAACATTCATGCGTTTCAGTTCACCATTCAAAGCACCAATGCCACGTCCGGCGGTAAAATCGAATTCTATAAACAAAAAAACAACAATAAATTAATATTTGTTTATAAAAATTTTCAAAAAAACATACCATGCACATTGGAACAATCCAAAATAATCGGCGCCGAACCGTGTGTCTCCAATGCCTTCGATATGCCGCTGCGTACCCATTCAATGGCTGGGAAATATAATGAACTATGCTTGGGACGTATCAGAATATACGATATGCCATGGGTGGTCTGCAAGGGGCGAGAAGATTTTAAATTTAATAATTTTTTATAAATCCACGCCTCTGATAGGTCCCGAAAAACAATTTTTTATAAATCCACGCCTCTGATAGGTCCCGAAAAACAATTTTTTATAAATCCACGCCTCTGATAGGTCCCGAAAACAATTTTTTATAAATCCACGCCTCTTATAGGTACAGCAAAACTTTTTTTTATAAATCCACGCCTCTGATAGGTCCCGAAAAACAATTTTTTTTAAATCCACGCCTCTGATAGGTCCCGAAAAACAATTTTTTTTAAATCCACGCCTCTGATAGGTCCCGAAACAATTTTTTATAAATCCACGCCTATTATAGGTCCAGCAAAACATTTTTTTATAAATCCACGCCTCTGATAGGTCCCGAAAAACAATTTTTTATAAATCCACGCCTCTGATAGATCCCGAAAACAATTTTTTTTAAAAATCCACGCCTCTGATAGGTCCCGAAAAAACAATTTTTTATAAATCCACTCCTCTGATAGGTCCCGAAAAAACAATTTTTTATAAATCCACGCCTCTTATAGGTCCAGCAAAACATTTTTTTTTATAAATCCACGCCTCTTATAGGTCCAGCAAAACATTTTTTTTATAAATCCACGCCTCTGCTAGGGCTCGAAAAATAATTTTTATAAATCCACGCCTCTGCTAGGGCTCGAAAAATAATTTTTTATAAATCCACGCCTCTGCTAGGGCTCGAAAAATAATTTTTTATAAATCCACGCCTCTGCTAGGGCTCGAAAAATATTTTTTTATAAATCCACGCCTCTGCTAGGGCTCGAAAAATATTTTTTTATAAATCCACGCCTCTGCTAGGGCTCGAAAAATAATTTTTTATAAATCCACGCCTCTGCTAGGGCTCGAAAAATAATTTTTTATAAATCCACGACTCTGCTAGGGCTCGAAAAATATTTTTTTTATAAATCCACGCCTCTGCTAGGCCTCGAAAAATAATTTTTTATAAATCCACGCCTCTGCTAGGGCTCGGAAAATAATTTTTTATAAATCCACGCCTCTGCTAGGGCTCGAAAAATAATTTTTTATAAATCCTCGCCTCTGCTAGGCCTCGAAAAATAATTTTTTATAAATCCACGCCTCTGATAGGTCTCGAAAAATAATTTTTTATAAATCCACGCCTCTGATAGGCCTCGAAAAATATTTTTTTATAAATCCACGCCTCTGATAGGCCTCGAAAAATATTTTTTATAAATCCACGCCTCTGATAGGTCCCGAAAAACAATTTTTTATAAATCCACGCCTCTGATAGGTCCCGAAAAACAATTTTTTATAAATCCACGCCTCTGATAGGTCCCGAAAAACAATTTTTTATAAATCCACGCCTCTGGTAGGTCCCGAAAAACAATTTTTTATAAATCCACGCCTCTGATAGGTCCCGAAAAACAATTTTTTATAAATCCACGCCTCTGATAGGTCCCGAAAAACAATTTTTTATAAATCCACGCCTCTGATAGGTCCCGAAAAACAATTTTTTATAAATCCACGCCTCTGATAGGTCCCGAAAAACAATTTTTTATAAATCCACGCCTCTGATAGACCTCGAAAAATAATTTTTTATAAATCCACGCCTCTGATAGACCTCGAAAAATAATTTTTTATAAATCCACGCCTCTGATAGACCTCGAAAAATAATTTTTTATAAATCCACGCCTCTGATAGGCTTCGAAAAATAATTTTTTATAAATCCACGCCTCTGATAGGCTTCGAAAAATATTTTTTTATAAATCCCCGCTTCTGATAGGCCTCGAAAAATATTTCAAACTTACACTTAATTTGTCAACTGTCAATATTGGCCGGGCCACACGATATACCAAAAAGGCCACATCGGCACCCACACCCAAAAGCAGGCCAAGTTCCACACCCACTGCCAGGCTGACCACAAATGTTATGGCACCGGGTAACAGTTCACGGCGGCTGCAACGCCACAAGGGTTTGATAACCTAAAAAAGAAATTAAATTTTAAATATTTTTCAAGATTTTGAATTAATTCCCGTAATTGACAACTAACCTCAAATTCAATCATAAATATAACCGCCGATATAATAACCGCACTCAGCGAAGCCTTGGGAATATATTGAAAATATGGTGTCAGTAGGCCCAAGGCCAACAGCACCAATGCACTGGTATAAAATCCACCAATTGGTGTCCTAACACCACTGGCATGATTGACGGCACTGCGTGAGAATGATCCCGTCACTGGTATCGATGAAAAGAATGAACCGCAAATGTTGCTCAACGACAAAGCGACCAATTCACGTGTTGGTGAGATACCAGCCCCACCAAATGCCTTCGATATCGCCACATTACCCAACACCGCAATAATTGGTAAAATAATCATTGATGGTCCCAATTCTTCAAACATTGCGGAATAATTTTGTTCAACTTCGGTACCATTTGTACCCAAAATTGTTGTTTCAAACTTTGGCAATTGAAATTCGGGTAGACCACTTTTCACCTTCCCCGTTAATATCAAGGGACATGTGGACGAATTTTGGCATGTATAATAGGCAATTGTACTGCTTATCAGCACCACTAAGGCATTACGTCCCGTGGCAACAAGCCAAAGAAAACTTTTCAAGAATTTATTGGAATTTTTTAATTTTAAGTCTTTCAGTTTCTGTGAGGAAAAACAAAAACAACAAAGATTATATAGAGAAAAATGGGGTTGGGGTTTTAAAACATTCGTACTCACCCTTAATAGCAATAATATAACAAGGGCAGTCACACCTAAACTAAAATCTCCAATGCGGATTTTATCTAAATTTGAAAATACTGATTTCATGGTATTCATGAAACCGGAGCCGGAACCACCACGCAAACCCAAGAGACCCTAGAATGGGAGAAATAAAAAGAATTTTATAAAAATTAATTCATATAATGCATTAGGTTCGGACGGACCAGACAGTTTATACCTAAAACCATAGATATGCACATAAGCATCAAAAAAATATATAAATTCAAGCCTTTGATAGGCCTAGAAAAATGCTATTTTAATAAATTCAAGCCTTCGATAGGCCTAGAAAAATACTATTTTTATAAATCCACGCCTTTGATAGGCCTCGAAAAATATTTTTTATATAGACCGCAAAAAATACTTTTAAAAATTGTTAGTCAATACATTGGCAACCATATTTGTTGAAGGACAATATTTTAATTTTATTTCATTGTTCTGGACTAAGTCACGGATGTGGTGAAACCTTAAGTCTATATGTTTCGATCGCTTGTGATAAACAGGGGTTTCCGCCAACTTTAATGCTCTTTGGTTGTCGATGTGCAAAACTACGTATTCTCAATTCCAAAAGCCTATTTTCTTTAAAAGCCGTTGCAAATATATAACGCCTCCTTTGCTGCTTCTGAAGATGCTACGTATTCAGCTTCCGTAGTCATTTTCACCATCCGATGTTTGTCTTCAATGTAAATTATTGTCTGTGACTGATGAAATGATGCAGATTCATTACCATCGGATTCAATTTTGTCTTCCAGAGTATAATCAAAAAGTGTATCACTCGTGGAAGATCCTTCATCATCGCATGACTCGCTGCATTGCCAAAACGATTCTCATCAAAAAGTACATCCCGGCATTCGATGACTTTAATGTTTAACTCTAGGCTTTCTTCCACACCATTCTTCATACGGCGTTTTGTTTTCCAGCTGCTTTGTAGGATACCTATTTCTAATATAAACGGCGGTATTTATTGCCTCTGCCCATAAAGCTGGTTTCACATTCGCATACACCATCATGGATCTGGCCATTTCCACAAGGTTGGCCTCTCGGCTACCCCGTTTTTTTGTGGTGTATGAGAAACCGTCAACTGCCGTGTGATGCCTTCTTTCTTCTTTCTATATAATATATTCACTCCCACTGTCCGATCGTAGCGATTTTATCTTGCAGCCTTTCTGCTTCTAAACTGGGTCTTTGAACACCTTAAACTTTTCAAATACTTCAGATTTCGACCGCATAAAATAAATAAATATCTTTCTGGACTTATCGTCGATAAATGTTACGAAGTATTTGGATCGTCCAACTGAGGGTGTTCTAAAAGGACCGCACACATCTGTGTGCACAAGTTCCAATAAATCCTTGGAAATCGTCTAAGACTGGTTAGGGAATGGTAATACATGAACTTTACATACCATACAAGTGTCAAATTTGTCATGACTTTGTTCGTTCCGCTTGCAACACAATTTCACCATCTGGTCTCTTCACTGATGCTCTCTTCTCATCAAAATTAACGGTTATCCTCTGTCAACAGCCTTGTTAACCGATATAAAATTAGCTTGCAACTCCGGCGAGTACAAAACGCTTTTCTTCTCGCACTTATTGGCACAATGTCCCATTAGACCACAGTTGAAACATTTTCCTTTGAAACATTTCTTGTTGCTTTGCTTCTTCTTGTCCGTTCTAGAGTTTGCAGGTTTTGCGACGAATGCCTTCTGATTGGTTATTTCTTCCTCGCTTTGTCCTAAGGATGACAAACTAGGAAGATCCTCGCGCGTTTCGATTGCGATCACAAAATTATCAAATTCCTTGGGAAAGATAATCTCTATACCGGTTTCATGCAATTCCTCGTATACTTCCGAGAACTCGTTCACCACATTGCCATTTGACGCCATCTTCAAATTTACCAACTTCTTATACAAAGAAATTTTTGAATCGGACCCTTTGACATGTAGGCCTCCTCCAGCTTTTTCCAGGCTTCATGTGAAGTTTTCGTATTCCTTATATAACCCAACTGTGTTGGTCCCATTTGCGAGGGATTGTGCGGCTTCCCATTTCGCTATTGCTGCCTCATTGCCCTCCTTTTTGGTTGTTCCATTCACGATCTTCCAAAAGTCAGCATGGACCAGGACACTCCGCATCTGGACTGACCACAGTTCATAATTGCTCTCGTCCAACTTATTTATTTGAAGAACTGGGGCACTCATTTTTCTCTCCTTTTCACTTACTGACAATTCTAGATGTTATTTTCAGCATATAACACAAATGCGATTGAACTTATTGAATAATCCTAAATGCTTTTTTAAATTCGCAAATTCTAAGAGAAGAGCACAACATTTTCCTAGCTGTATGAAACTTGGAAGTAAAAAATCATCAGACAACACACAAATTGCAAATCTATTTGCGGACTTTTTTCAATCTTCATATATTCAAAATGCATTTAGTGGTCAATATAATTTTCAAATTGATCAATTAAATCATTTTCCTTGTTTCTGCTTAACTGAAGGTGAAGTTTATTCTGGGCTAAAGACATTACGTTCCTCATTTTCCCCCGCTCCTAACGGAGTTCCATCCTATATTTTTTGAAGTCTTGTGCTAATGAATTATTTTTACCCCTTACGAAAATATTTAATTATTCCTTTTATTTTCCGCACTTCTGGAGTTCGAGCTATGTTATCCCCCTTCATAAATCTGGCAATAGATGTCTTATAGATAATTATAGATGTATTGCGAAGTTGAGTGCCATACCTAAACTTTTGGAACTATTAGTGCCACGAAGAATATCACATGAAAGGCAGATCTACTACTTCCAATCTTTTTGAATTTGTATGTCATGTTCATAATGGCTTTGCAAATAAGCAACAAACTGATGTTATTTATATAGACTTCAGTAAAGCTTTCGATACTGTAGTTCATAAGCTATTGCTCCATAAACTTAATGTTACAGTAGATATATGCGTTTTTTTCTTATATGGAATTATCGGATATAAGAAAGTATAAGCTCGGTGTTTTTGACAATCTTTCCTATATGCGATTTTTTCTTATTTGAGATGTGCTTATAACCAATATCTACTGTATAGGCTTCCCGTAAATTATTTTAAGCTGGATTTCATCCTATTTAGATGATCGTACCCAAAATGTTTTGTTCAGTGATTCCTTTTTTAAAGATATTATTGTTTCCTCTGGAGTTCAGCAAGGAAGTCATTTGGGTCTGTTATTGTTTGTTCTTTATCTAAAGGATCTTCCGAATTCCATTCGTTATTCCGAAATAGTAATGTATGCAGATGATGTCAAGCTGTTTTCGCATACAAATACACGTAATTCAGTTTATTTACATTACGATTTACACTCACTTTATAACTGGTGCAGTGCAAATGGAATGTCTCTTAAGGGAACCCCACCCATTCTCGATTTTAATTTTTCAAGAATTTCAATGGGCTGGTAAATCAATACCAATGCTTGTTAAAGTTTGTAACTTTGCACATATATATTTGAAGATTTAAAAGAGAAGAAAAATAATTTACAAAAAATTTTTGTTATTGTTCTGTTGTTGTTTTTTGTAATTAAAGAGATGTCCTTATTTTTTACTCCTCACTGGAACATCGGAATCCGAAAATTCCAACGGTGTTAGAAAGAGTACATGTCTGGCTCTAAAATAACCAAAATGGCGGACCTTCACTTTATAATATTTTTTGAAAATCGCCGATTTTTTACCAAAAACCAAGTTAAAATATAAGGAATATCTTCACCGATTGGCTTTATCCTATTATACGAGAGCTATACATTCCCAGAGAAACGTTGCAAAATTTGGAACCGATTGCACTATTAGTTTTTGAGTTTTCGTATCGCCATTCACAAAAAAATGCAAAGAGAAAAACGCGTTTAAAGTTTGAGAAGCCCTTTAGCCGTCACTTGATGCTGACACAATAAATCGGCTATATCTTCAAGAGTTCTTGAGATTTTCACTTGAAATTTTGTAGAGACATTCTTTAAACAGTGTAGATTCGAATTATATCAACAAAAATTTTGACCCCGAGAATGGGGGGGGGTCCCCTTAATTAAAAAAAATGCATGAAATTTTCCTTATTCAGATCACATCCAATACAATCCGACTACTTGATAGGGTCATACAAACTGGACAATGTTGATTCTTTCTCTGATCTTGGCGCCATGTCTTTATTAGGTTTCTTTAAATGCTAATCTAGAGAGTTTGATCGCCCTCATGTTACTAAAGGATTATTTGTTAGTATTGTCCGCCCAATCCTAGAATATTGTTGCATTCTTTGTAGACCTCGGATTTTTGCATATTTTTTATGCTTTATCCGATTGGACTCAAATTTTGTATTTAGGCGTTTCATGCTCCAATTGAACGATATTTGGGGTCTTGTTAAAAATATGCAAAATATATGCAAAAAGTATGCAAAATATGCAAAGTATGATAGGTCGATATGCATTAAATATGCAAAATATTTGCATAAAGTATGCAAAATATAATGCAAAATATGCAAAATATATGCAATATATGCATATTTTGCAAAAAATGCAATATATGCAAATATGCAAAAAATTAAAAAAATATGAACCCTTCAAATAATTCTAAATCCTTTGAAACGAATTTGTGTCCAATCAGAATTTCGATATCTTCATTATTAAAAAATATGCAAATATGCAAAATCCGAGGTCTAATTCTTTGGAGTCCATTTTATAAATGTCACTGTGATAAAATTGAGTCAGTTCAAGTTCAGTTTTTAATTTTTGCCTTGCGTGGCCTAAATTGGAACCCATTTGAATTACTTCCAACTTATAAAATTCGCTTATTGTTAATTAGTCTTCCAACACTTGAAAGAAGACGTTTTATGTTAAGATCATTATTTATTATTAAATTAATACGTGGCCTGATTGATTCACCCTTTCTTACGGGAGAAATAACTTTTAATGTTCGGAATTTTGAGCCGTTGAAATTGTCAATCGCGAGAACTAATTATGAACTAAACAACCCAATAAAGTCTTTTTTTAATAGATAATAGCATAAGTAATGTTATATGCCTAAGTAGTCCATTGCATGCCATAAAGAATTCTATACTGGACTTGGAAACAGTAGAGCCTAGCATTTCAGCAGCATTTGTCAAATTTTATATTATAGCTTTTGTTTAATGTTGGTGGGTTAATTAAGTTAGTTTATGCTATTTATCGATCTGATTTATATTTGTTGTATAATTATTAATTACCGGCTGATGATCTTTCTGTAGCCGGTATTGTTAAAGCATTACTAACCCGCCTTAGTCCGGTCTTTGGTGTGTACGTGCTCCCTGCGTATAGGGAGGTAGCCCCCTCAGTCGGCAGGGGCGGGTGAGGGAGGCGTGTGGACGAACGAAAAAAAATATCAAAGGATTTATTGAAATTAAAAGCAGTGTTATATGCTTCTGTCCACAACGAACAACAAAAGAAAAAGAAAGAAGTTACAACAGCATTCATGTTGCACAAAAGAGAGTTGCCATCTATTTCCATCAAATCCACACCTCTGATAGGCCTAGAAAAATATTTGCTTTTAACAATCCACACCTATGATAGGACCAGGCCTTAAAAATATAAATGCCTCTAATAGGTCCAGAAAAATATTATAAACAATCCACAATACCAAACAATAGGCCTAGAAGAAAATCTTTTAAAAAGTCGATGCCTCAGATAGTTAACAAAAAGTATTTTAATTCAAATTCTTATTTTAACTTACCTTAATTTGTGATGTTCCAATAATAACAGCTGTGGCCGATGTAAAACCAACCGTAACGGGTAAAGAAATTAAATCAACCAAAGCGCCTAAAAGTATGCCAAAAAATTTGTGTTATTAGTAAGATTGATATGGGAGGTACATGGAGAGGAATTAAATAATTCATATTTTAAAAATGCGTCATTAAAAAATAAATAAACATATTGATCAAATATAATTAATAGGTTATTTAATTATTATTTTCAAAAATCCAATCAAAAATTGGGCCACTCCAATTTATGTTGACACATGTGTCACATTATTCGAACCAGATGTTATTTATTAACTATTTCAAATATCTATCTAATATGAAATGTGTTTATCTAGGTTATGTTTGTTTTCCCTAGTTTTTTTTCTTGAGAATAATATTTGAAATTCCAAATAAATAAAATACCATTGCCTAAATTCCAATATTTGCATATAATTAGGAACAAAAATAAATAAATGTTTTTTAAACTTTGGACTACAATCAGACGTCACATGATATTCACGTTTCGATACAATTTTGCGATTGATAGCTAATTAAGATTATTGTTATTACTGTTGTAATTATAAAATACTTATTTATGTGTGTTTAGATATTTATTTGTCATTTTATAATTTAATTAGATTTTAATGAGACATTTAATTAAACAATTTGTTTTAATGGGTGCATAAAACAAAGTAATTAATAGAAAACAAGTTCGGCCCGAACATATGGACGAGTTTTAAAGAAAATTTTTAAAAGATTGGAAATTTATGAAAAATATTTTTTAAATCCTCGCTACTTCAAAAAATTCTTTTTTTATTTTTCAATATTCCACTTCTATGAAATTCCCATTCCCACTTGACCCTTCCCCTTACTTACCCAATCTCAAGACCGCCATTAACAATTCCACCACGCCCGATATCAAGCACAACAATATGGCATAAGCCGGTCCAGAATTTAAACCAAAGCCAGTATGACGGCTGGTCATCAAGGCCAGCAAAGCGGTGGGACCGATTGTCACCTGACGGCAGCTACCAATAAATGCATAAATTATGCCACCCACAAAGGCGGAATATAGACCATACTGGAAAAAATAACAACAATTACAAAATTAGCAATTTCCCTTAAAAAAATCTCTAACTACTCACCTGCGGTTCCAATCCCGCCAATGTGGCATAGGCCAAACCCTGTGGCAGTACTGTAAGTCCAACGGTTATACCGGCAATTAAATCAGACAATGCATCTTGCCCCGTATAGCCCTTCAGCCATTTAAGGCCGGGCAATAAACGATAGGCCAGCTCTTTGGTGGATTTCATTGTTGTGTAGCTGAAAAGAAAAAAATAAGAAAAAACAATTACAACAACAACAATATAAACAATTTTATTCAATTAATGCCAGCACATAGTTAGATCGTTTTCAGTTTTATTGAATAGCGAACAATCAAGGCAACAACAATAACTAAAGATTTAAAAAAATGTCCATAATTTATATGGTGTTGCATTATTGTCAATTTTCTGAAAAGGCCGGGCCATAATGATGATGTTCGGAATTCATTGAACGCATGACGGATGACTTCGAAATAATTTCGTTAATAACAAATATATGGGGGAAACTGGGTCTGGAGGTACCAAATTACATCATTAATTTTTTTTTATTTTGTCACCGGGGTGGAGAAGCGGTTTAAAAGGCCTTAGCCTTGTCTAAGTATGTTTATGGATGGCGAAGGAGTTCTGAAACAATTTCGATTTTATAAGCAATTTTCAAGGCAAATATAGGTGACCTGTAGGTCGATTCAGTAACTTATAACGATCCGACAATCGACAATTTTGTCTACACATAAAATCGTTTGCAGTAACGAAAATATTATTCTGCAAAAATGTAGACAAATTGTCGATAAACTTTCAAAAAGCTTTTAATTTTGAACATTTTGAAAACAAAATACATACAAATTCAGAACAAAACAAGGCATGTTCAATATTAAAAAATATTTGTCGATAAGTTAACTTCGAATATTTTGGTGTTGTTTATTAACAACATTTTTAACAATTGTTGTTAAAAACTGTTATAGAATTGAAATATTGTTTATTTTGACGTTATAACATTTTATCGATTTGAGAAATGTATAAATTTAATAGTGAATCGACCCACTGGTAATAGGCTCCAACAAATGTGGGTGCCTTGGCATCTGTAGTCAAAGGTACAGCTACAAGCACTCAGCCATCGGCCAGATTTGAGGAACCACAGGGGAAGAGCAGCCAACCCAGCCTTCAGAGACATAAGGGGACTCAACATCGAATTCTGAGTCTGAACATGATAATCAGACAAATATAACCGTCTTGGAGAGCCGGAAGAGAGAAGAGGCCGACGAGATGATAGAGTAGGTATGTAAGGATATCGCCAAACTCACAAGCAGGAAGAAGCAATTGTCTGGGGCACAAAGGCGGAAGTTGGCCAGAATGAACCGGATGAACAAAAAGTGCAAGATACAGACAGTGGCTAAAAACATTTCCTCCACTTCTGCGGAAGCGGCGAAGAGAATACGGTCTCCGGATGAGCAGACGACTGTCAATACGCCAAAAAGAAAAAGAGCCTCCCACCTACCGATAGTAAGAGAAAGTTGAGTCAAACCAACGTCAAAGGAGACTGCCACGAGAATCCACTGACGAAGTTAGACAAAGCTGGCTCTGATATCAGGAAGACGAGTGCTGAGTCGAAATCTTCCGCAAAGACCGGGAATCCCAAAAGCACCAGCCGTTATTTGCGAAAGAGGAAGGTTGCCAGGAAACGCTACCTAGACGAGCTTTGCTATGCAGTGATCGACAGAAATAGCGCGTCCGGTAAACTGAATAAGGCGACCCACATGGAGGTGTTGAATATGGTCAACAACAAGATCATGGAGCACCTACGACAAATGGGGGACTCCATTGACCTGGATAGCTACGCATTCAAAGGGGACTATCTAATGCTGAAATTTGAAACACTAAAAAACATAGGAACAATCAAACTCAGCGGGTGAGGAAAAAAGATATTCCTCAATTACAAAAGGTCTCCGTCAGAGGTTAGGGCAGCGATTTCGACACGGAACGCATGCTCGAGGTCTTCAGCCTACAGAACAAGACACTGCATGTGAAGAAATGGAAAGTCTTCCTCAGAGAGGAGAACGAGGAAGGGATTGTGTTAGGATTGGACAGGTCTTCAATGGCAAGTCTGGCAAAGGGCAAGGCGCATTACGTGTCCAACGCCGTATACTTCAAAATCGGGAAGGCAAGGAGTGAAGGCGGTGAAACCACAGGTAACAGCGATGGGAAAACACCCAGCAACAAAGAGGAGAGACCCGAGAAGACTCCCAAGAAAACCGGTTACTGGAGGACAACTAATAAAAGTCGTCCAGATTAACCTCCATCGGAGCGAGACGGCAAACAATGGTAAAATACACATCGGACTGATTCAGGATCATTGGTCAATTAAAAACAATGTCTCTGCACATGAGGTAGTACTCAATATTGAGGGCACTTTCGCTAAGAAAATGTATACCTTAGCGGTATGTATTCACATTGAAGGAGCTTTCAAGAATGTGAGCACTAATACGCTTATCCAATCCGTAGATACTTTCCAAGTCGACCGGGCAATCATAGACTGGGTTATCTATATGCTAAGGAATAGATGGATTAGCTGTAGCATACAGGACATAACAATCAAAGACAAAGTAGGTCAGGGAACACCACAGGGAGGGATTTTGTCACCGCTACTGTGGATATCTACCATAAATGAACTCTTAAGGAACTTAACCGATGTAGGATTTGAACCAGTCTCTTATGCATATGACGTTATAATACTTCATAGGGGAAGGAATCCTAACTTATCATAGGTAACGAAATAGATGTGAATACCGTCAAACACTTTAGCACAACACGCCAATAAATGAAGCGAATCAGACCCACAAAACACTTTGCGAAAATGAGGGTACAGAAAAGATCACCAAAATCTTATGGGGTGACCCAAATGAAGCAAAAAACTTAGCAAATCCTAACGCTAAACAAAAATGAAATAAGCCGAAAAATCTAAACTTTACCTAATTATATCTTTCTCTGCATTTCTAGAGCGCACAATAGGCCTCAATTGGCTTATGTGTATGTCCTTCCCATGTTGGACATGTGGTGGTATTATCCACCCCTCTTTTCAACCTAACCTAATAGGCTGTGCTGCCAATGCCCACCATTTCCACTTGGGAAGCAATGACCCAAACCCACTATTTTATACTTAGATATAATCTTAGGATATGTAATAGGGGCAATACAGCGACATTTGTAAATAGAGTGAGAGGCAGAGTCATGGGCATCACCGTCACAAACATGGACGACTCTGGGGTTAAGAATAGGGAAGTATTTGAAAAATGGTCCTTTTTTGTACGTTCAGATTTTGCAGAGTAATATTTAAAGATCCGAAATCGATAGATAGTATTAAACGAACAAATCGAATGTGGACAAACTTCGGAAGAGAGACTCTTGATCTTTTTATCATCGAATCGACTTCATTGGTTGTATGTACCGTCTTTCAGGCAGAAATCCTAGCAATCACGAAATCGGCGGAAATAGTAAAAAACACTTACTGCTGACTATGTGTGTGGATAGTCAGGCGTCCCTTAATTCACTTAAGTCGTGTAATATAAATTCAAAAGAGGTTCTTGACTGTAAATAAAAATCATGTAAAGCACGATATACAAGAGAATATTAATTTTTGTTGGTTTCCAGGACAGTGTGGCATAAATGGGAATGAAATAGCTGACGAACTTGCTCGTGAGTGTTCGCAGTCGTCCAGTCTACCGATTAAGGGATCTATACTATTATATTGGATATTTGATTGGCGAAATCCGGAAAAGGTACGACGAGAAAGCCGCCAAGTCCAATAGGACTTTATAATGACAAAATAGTCTTCTCATGGAAAAGAAAATGGTATAGATGGTCGGGTTGGTGTATTTTGTCGGAAGTTTCAAAATTCTAGTTCTTTAAACTCCACCCTAATATATTACATTACGAAATATTCTAACAAAAGATACAAAGTTAAATACTGATAATTGAAAAAGGCAAATAACTTAAAATTGACTGCCTCACTATAGTGGGTCATTAATTTGAATTACAATTTCCCGTAATATTATGCAGGTATTATTTTTCAAAAATAGCAATCAATGAATTGCAAAACCAGGTGGCATTTTTTTCTAATAGCTTGCAAGCTGATATAACAATTTAATTTGAGAAGATAGATAAGGGTAGAAGTGGATCTAGAATAGAAACAAAAAATATACATATTAATATATATATATATATATATGGGCCAGAGAGAGAGAGAGAGAATTTTGCATTGAGAAAAGAGAATATGCATTTGAAATTAAAAAATGTAAACCTTTAAATATGAATTGAGAAAAAAGCAAAATTAATGTAAATTCTGAAATGGAAGCCCATATATTTACAGTTCTTTTTGTCAAAAATGAAATATTGTATCAAGTCTAATGTTTATTTAAATATACAAATAAAATGTTAGCATATTAAATAATTTTGAATGCTCTTAATGAAAAAGAAATTGAGTAAATTTAATTTTCTAATTAACACCTTTACAAATGAAAGCGTTTTTTAATATAATGTCTAATTTTATTGAAGTCAACAAAAAAAATTAGAAAATACACATTCGAAATCAATATTAGTACATTAAATATAATATAACATTTTAAAAATAGTCCATTTTCTCCAAATAAGATGTGGGAATTTTTGAAACACTTTCGATTTTACATTTCCGAATGAGATTTTTGAAATCCCATCTTTCAGATAAGCGGATTTTTCTGTTCAAAAAATATGGGGGTTGTAGGTTGTAGTCGTGCCGATTTAAGGGAACCCCACCCATTCTCTATTTTAATTTTTCAAGATTTTCAATGGGCTGGTAAATCAATACCAATGTTTGTCAATGTTTGTAACTTTACACATATATAATTGAAGATTTAAAATAGAAGAAAAAAAATTGTTGTTGTTGTTTTTTGTAATTAAAGAAAAACCCTTATTTTTGATGGCGGGCATGATAACTCCTCACTGGAACATCGGAATCCGAAAATTCCAACGGTGTTAGCAAGAGTACATGTCTGGCTCTCATATGAACTAGGATTATTGACTTCGCTCTAAAATTAACAAAATGGTGGACCTTTGAAAAAATATTTTTGGAAAATCGCCGATTTTTTACCAAAACCAAGTTAAAAAATGAGGAAGATCTTCACCGATTGGCTTTATCCTAGTTCATACGATAGCTATACACTCCCAGAGAAACGTGTAAAAAATTGAAAT